GATTTACTCAAAGAATGTGATTGAGGATGGTTGAATGTTAGACAATCTATCTGGTGCAACAATAACTCTTATGTATCATTACACAAGACAGATAATAGCAAAATTGCTAACTCAGTAGATGCTCAAAAAGCATTTGATAAAATATAACACAGATGCCAGACTAAGGAAAAAAGCTTTTAGTAAAATAATTAAAATATCTATCTTAAACTAACAGCGATTACTCTTAATAATGAACCATTATAATATTTCCTATATTTATAGTTACTAACAAGAAAAGGATGTCTGCTAATACCACTAATACTTGCCATTATGAGCAGTGGAATCCCTGGTAAATGTAAAAAGAGACGTGAATGGAACCAAGGGTTATTGAGGATAATAATAACAATAAATATGAGAAATAAACAACACAAATTACAGCGCCTCAAAGAAGAGGCTTTTAAAACTTTTCAAAAAGTGCCAACGATGGTACACACCTGCAATCCTAGCTACTTGGGAGGCTGAGACAGGAGAATAGCAAGTTTAAGGCCAGCCTCAGCAACTTAGTGACACCTTGTCGCAAAATAAAAAATAAAAAGGGCTGGAGGTATAACTCAGTGGTGGAGCATTCTTGGGTTCAATCCCCAGTGCCCTCCCAAAAAAGAAAAAAAAAAAAAAAAAAAGACCAGTAAGAGGAGACATACCATAATCCTGGATAAAAAGTTTCAATATTGTTTAACATAAACATTCTCCACATACTGATTTATATATGTTCAAAAGTCCAAAGGAAATCCTGGGGAATTTAGACAAAGTATTTCTCAATATATTCATTCCGATAGCAACTCCATTGCAGGAGGATCCAATTAACATATTTGACTCCACTCTGTCTCTCCTTGGCCTGCCCCTTTCTAAGTTGATCTTTCCCTCAGTTTAATTCAAGGATCCGTAAGTCTGAAAGATAAATATCCTGCAACCCCAACCCCTAGCAGTAGCAACTTCCTTGGTGTCCAAAAGACTGTGACCAGACCCAGGACAATGTCCACCCAGATTTCCACCTGACTAGAATCTCTAGCTATACAAGCCCATTCAACTTTCATCTTGTCCTTCCAGGAGTAAACTCAAGGAAACTGCGGAGCCCACCAAGACAGTTCTTAGCTCTGTCTTCCCAGTTGTGGACAGAAGGCTGTGCCCTAATCTGAGAAGAGAGTTTCAGGCTATGCCAGTGCCTAAGTTACTGTATTTTGTAAAGCAGTAGTTTGCCAAAAGTGACTCCATTTTTAGAACAAATGCCATGGTACAATGACTCTATACTTTGTTAATTCAAGTAAACAGTCATCATCTTTCCAAGTACAACCATAAGGCACAAACTGATAAATAACTTTTTTGGGCCAACTTATCAAACTAAATCAGGAGCACCTGGACACATGGCAGTCCCACATCAGAAACACCAGACACAGGAACTTATAAATCTCCCCAACATAAACCCCTCATTTACGACCCATAAAAACAAGGACTAACCCTGCAAGATGGACATGGTAGCACTGTGACCCCATCATCTGGTCACTCCTCATGACCCTTGCCCAGGAAAATCACCACATCGAAAAACCCCCAGTTACCTGTCTCCTGGCTTCGGCTCAGTGTTGCTCTTTCTGTCCATGACGACATGCATAGCCTGCTCCAAACTGACACCTAAGCTCATACTCTGAAACTGCTATGTCTGAACCTTCGCCATGGCAACTCTGCAGAGCTGGCTGGTTTAAACTCTTATCTAACCACCTCTTGTTCTTGGCACAGCATCTTGTAAACCTGAGGCCACCTTAACCCAGCTATACCATTGTGTAAAGCATGTGTGACTTGAGTGTTAATAGAATTTAAGATTGCAATGGAAGAAAAGAACTTGAGATTTTCCAGTTTACGTCTATCAGATGACCCATGAATACTTGGTGAATAGTGACCAACGATCATGGTAGATCTTGGTGAATAGTGACCAACGATCATGGTGTAGCTTGTGAAGTCATTGCTATTCAATACATTCTGACATTGTGGAAAGACACAAATGTGTTTGGTCTGTTAGTATTGGTTATTAACACCAATGTGGCTGTAGTGAGAATAAATTCCTTTCCTACCATCAATTTTTCTATCCTGCTTTCTTATAGGGCAAGTGGCCAAATCTAGTCTGTTGGGATCTCCAGAGTCAGGCCTCTGGCACAGAACTTGAGTAAAGTAAAACTTCGGTAACACCATTTTTAAGGGAGATAATTAAATGTAGACATTAAGAGTGAGCATTGGCTCAGAAAAAAATATCAATTGAATAAAAGAGAAAACCCTGAAACTGAGCTATAAAAATGGAGCAATCATCACAGAAGTGAGCCACAGAGAGCAGACTTCCTACAATTGAGTTTGGGCACATCCACATTATGCCCTCTTACATGATTGAGGATTTATTTTTTGAGATTTGCCCCAATTTGAAAAAACTCCCAGATGAATTGCATAGTCTGGAAATATGGGGGGAAAAAAAACTTAGGATGTCAGAAATGCATAACATGATTACAGATAGTAGTCTATCTTAAATCATTTATTGCCATAAAATATAGAAATATGTATTATAAAAAGTTAAAATTATCAAAACGCACACATGTACAAGCACAAACTGTAGTGCTACTAATAAGCTGAGAGAAACGTAGACAGATGTAAAGATGCTGCATTAAGTCATTCATAATGGCATAAAATGAACTGTAGAACATATTGTGCTACTGTAATAATTTTGTAGCCACCTCTGGTTGTATTAAAACACTGAGATGCTTAAATCATCTCCTGTGAGCAGGGAAGTAGGGAGATACAGGAATGAAACTGATCAAATTTTGTTATGTGCATGTGTGAATATGCTACAATGAAATTCATTATTCTGTGTAATTATTATGCACCAATAAAAAAGTGACCTCTAACAGTTCTCACATATATTTCACTATATATATATTACATATAAATGTGTTAATATGTTATCAGTAAGGCTTTTGGTCAACAGTAGGCTATCAGTAGTTAAGTTTTGGGGGGAGTCCAAAGCTAGTGGTGGGCAGTTTAGTGCCCCAGTTCATGTTGCTCAGAGGTCAACTACATTGCACCACGGGAACAATCAGCTGAGTTCAATGCTGCTTATGGGCCAAGAGGAGAAGAGAGAACTATTTTCTGGTTTTGACAACATGAGATCACCAATGCCCTTCACAAGGACAATTTCAATATAGGAGAGATCAATTGCCTAATTGGAACGAGTTCAAGAAAGCTTGGTGAGAAACTGGAGATGGACAGGGTGCCCTGAAGTGGAACACTTAAACAGGCAGCTAGAGAGAATGGGGTCAGAAGGTGTATGATGGGAGGCAGCAATGGCATATTAGTATACTTTTGGGAGAGCTCTATTTGAAAGGGGAAATGATAAAGCGAGAGACAGAAAAAATGAAAGTTCTCCCTAAATTAAGAATGAAATCCAGCCCTTAAGTAGAGTTATTAGCTTTAAGGAACAGAAGCAAAAGCAGATCACAGAGACAAAGGCTAGGAGGTGGGAGCTTGTTTGAGGGTCTGGGGTAACATCTAAACTGTATTTAACCAGGGTTTTGCTTTGCTGAGGCTCATCAAAACAAGAGATGGGAAGAAAGTTGAAGGTGTACGAAAGGGAGCAATTTTAAGGGCTGAGCACAGAATTCAAGCTAGATAAGAAGAGGGGTAAGGTCTTCAAGGGAATGAGGAACAGTGCATAAGTGGTATGACCAATGGATTGGAGGCCTTGGTGGGAGGATGGCATTGTTGGAGTTACAGTGTAAGAAAGCACGAGCTAGGAGATAGTAGGAGGTATGAAGGAAGGACCGTGGATATTGGTCATGACCAAATTTGGACATCAGATAAGTGGCCACTTACAGTAAAAAATCATGTAAAATAGACATTGAAATCAAGAATGACAGAAACAGTATTGGAATGACCCCAAGTGACCCCAAGAATGAGGGTTAGAGAAGAGAGGGGTTCCTTTGCAACAAGGAGCTAGGTGAGATAATTGGTTGCTTTATGATCCAAAGTGAATTATTTTTAGAGAAGCTCAATGGGATTTCAATTTGTCCAATGCCACATCCAGCAAGAGGTAGAGAGCAAAACTCAAAAGTAGGCAGTCTGACTTCTAAGTACATGCTCTTAAATGGTGTCAACAACCACATCCTAGGTAAATGACTTCTTTGAACCATTCTTGGGCTAAAACTTTTGTTTGGATTTTACTATTTAATCTACTTGTCAAAAAAGAAAAACGAAGATTTGGTAGTCCAGAGTATGTGATTTCAAACCAGAAGTGATATCAACTTGTTGCAAACAAATATTCTAATTTTGAAAGTAATGTTTTAAGTGGTGTATGATGTAGGCTATGAATATATGCCTCAACGGGATGTGGGTTGGGATAAAATCTATGGTGATGTCATCATACCTCATTCAGAAAAGCTGAGCGAAACTGAAATGGTTCAGATGAAACAAGTATGGCCCTTACACAAGGAAAATAAGACAATCAAGAAGCAGTCTACTTTTTGACTGAACCCTGGACCAAAAAAAAAAAAAGTGTATAAGGGCTGGCAACTGGGGAAATTTGACTATGGACTGCATATCAGTTATTATATAATTATTAATTTTCTTAGGTGTGATACTGGTATTATGGTCATGTAGATGAAAGTCCTTTTCCTATAAGAAAATACACACTGAAGTATTTAGGGTACTAAGTCATGATGTTCTTTCAACTGGTTCACCCCTAAATGTACACTATATACACAATACATATTTATGTAATATACAGACATATGCACACATTTAGACATACATATATAAAAATACCCATGGAAAACAAAAATGTTAACTGGTGAGTCTGGGTTAAGGTACATGAGTGTTCAAACATTCTATGGATCTGAAATTTCTTAAGGTATGAAACTGGAGAAAAGTATGTGAAGTTTTTAATAACAATCCTTACAAAATGTAGTTTAAAAAGCCATATTACTTTAATATACAGTGATTTTAAGCAGATTTATTCAGCTAGGTTAGCAAATACAAGTTTGTATCTATTTAAAGTTTGTGCCTATGTATTCAAATTAGGCCCACATCTAAAACTGGAAAATTGATAAGCAGCATTAAAAAGGTAGCACAAGAATTAGAGATGCAGAATCCAAAGAGGCTGCTGCTAGGGAGCAGGAATGCTTGGTGGGGGGGCATGAGCAATGGGCAGCAGCAGAGTGAAGAAGTGCTGTTTCTCAGAACACACCTTGTAGAACTAATTCTTTGAATGGTCTGCACGTAGAACCTCTAAAACCCTCCATTAAAAGAACTTTTACTTTGTATCCTTGTCCTTTCTAATCCTTCAGTTTGGGAAATTTAATGTAGTTTTAATGCTTTACCTAACATTGAACTAGAAATAAAATGAGGTTGGCCACTGGGGGACACTGAAAACCCATTAAACACACACACACACACACACACACACACACACACACACACACAGAGATAACCAGGTTGAGTACTCCTTACAAAAAGCTCAGGGCCAGAAATGATTCAGATATTAGAGATTTTCTGATTCTGGGAATATTTAAATGCTTACTGAGTGGACATCCCTAACCTGAAAATCCCAAAACCAAAAGCTCCAAAAATGGTATAGGGCTCCAAAGTTTTGGATTTTGGTTTAGTGATACTCAACCTGAATAGTTTTGCTTCTTGCCAGATACAAATCTACTAATGGTAAGAATTTTCCAATGTATAACTAATTAGAACAAATAAAAAAGTTTTCACTCAAGTTACTTTTTTCCCCTTCATGTAGTTATATTCTGAGATGAAAAAATAAACCCCAAATTACAAAATTTTCTACTCTATTTAGATATAGAAAAGTTAAAAATTAGTAGTTTGCACCTAATAAAAGCACACACATACATCCTACTGTAGATTCAAAGCTATCATTTTAGGGTTTGAAAAGTAAGACTGGGGCTGTATGGGAACAGATGCTTATGTGAAGAATAATCTGCAGGGGCTGCCACATGAGCAACAGTTAAAGGATGCTATTATAATTAGCTTCAAAAGTGTCAAAACCTTAAATCTATGTTCAGAGCTTAGTAATACATTTGAGCATTTTCTTTCAAAGGATGGAAGAGCCAGTAAAATTAATAAAGACAAGTGTTCAGATTTATTTGGAAATTCACAGTTTCTAATGGCACTACAGCTCCGTAGTTACAAACTGAAAGTCCTCTTTCCACAACAGATGGTGTGACTTTCCACTCTGCCTCTGCTCTCATCTGGACCTTTTTTCAAGGGCTTCTTTACAATCTGGCCCTCTTGCTCTGAATGGCTAATTGTGCAGACTGGACAAAAACAATTTAATCTCCTAAAACATACTGTTAACCTAAAGCAGCAACTTAAAGAAACAAAAAAGGCTTTAAATAAGTCACATTACAAACAATACCCCAAGAAAGGTATCAAACAAGTTTAAAAACAGTTATTACTAAAAGTGCTCAATAAGTTATAACTTAAATCTCACAATACAAAAGGTCAATTCTCTCCCTTTCAAAAAGAAACGTGTTCCACTTTCACTTGTTATACAGGCACACACTATGAAATCACTTTATTCAAATACAGTCACTGCCAATTATTTTTTAAAAGAAAAAAACACAAATGAAGACAAACATATTGACGTAACACAAACATATCTCTGCACCTTGTGGCCAATACAAAGCAAATATCAAGGAATCACAATCCCCTAGACTTGACCAGCCAGATTTGTGGGACAAACCCACTGGCAGCTCTGTGTGTGTGCATAGGTGTGTGCACAGACAGTGACCATGCCTAAATGCACTTGAATTCAGCTGCCAAATCTGCAGTTTCTCATATATTTGTACAAATGGAAAACAGTGATGTGAAAGTTTGGAGGATTAGTGTTATTGTAATATCTAATGAAATCTTCACAAGTAGTTGTGTTTAAAGTCAAATTTATAAAAACATTTGCAAATACTAGTCGTTTGCATGAAAAGAACTTGTTGCTTTTTTCCCCCCTCACTGAGTTTAGTAACTATGGAAAAAGTAATCCAGTCCAAATAAGATAAATGAAAATAATGTCAAGAGCATCACTATTTACCTAAAAGAACAGACTTAAAGTTCCAGCAAGTGTTTATTTCCAGTGAGTTTGCACAACAGACCTAGCTGGCAAGTCTTTAGGCTCTTCACACTGTCTGACCCACCCTGCTGAGCTTCAGGCACAGACCACCCCAAAACCTTGTAGTGTTTGCAGCTTCAAAAACCTAAAAAGTTATAAAAGAAATCAAATGACAGAAAAAGTTCTCCCTCCTCTTCCAGTGGCATTATAAATAGACAAAAGGCACATAAATATGGGGGAAGGTGCAAGAAATAGGAACAAAGCTAGAGGAAGAGGTTTAGGCTTTCATTCCTATCCCACCCAAGGAACTGGGCTTCCAAATTAATTTGTCCCAGTAATTAATCTGTGAAAAAACATCTTTATAAAATGTTTACCATTGTCCTTGTAGGAAGCGATCAGCCTTGTAAAACTGTAGCTCATTAACGAAGATTGACACAATCCCATCTATTTTTTAAAAAGGCAGAAACCATAATTTCTGAATACTTTTCCCAATGTTTCCTCCCCCCCCAACCCTTCAAATACCACAGACTGTTCTTCAAAGAACAACAACAAAAAAAGTCTTCAGTATGAAAAGTTTGATTAATTTAGATATGTCCCGAAACTGCTGTAACCCCAAATGTTCCCACGGCGAGCTCCTTGTTTCCTTTGATTATGTCGTGTAGGCTGGGCAATGATCCTGACTTAGTCTGTATGAGAGTCTTTATCAATTTCCCTTGGTCTTGGACTTTAGACCGCCTTCGTTTTAAAGCCCTCTTCTCAGTTTTTGTCTTTTGGGACTGTCCATTGCACAGACTTGTACAAGCTGAAATGCCACAAAAATAGGACTCTTCTGACTGTGATGAAGTTTCTGAGCTTCCCTCAGAGGGAGGGCCCTTATAAGAAGAGTGATAAACTTCTCCCATATTAGAAAAATCTCTCTGGTTCGTAAAAGGCCTTCTTCCTTTTATGTCTCCATTGGCTATAGGGTGCAATGGATCTGCAGGTTTTATGGTCTCAATTTTTTCAGTTTTATACTTGCAGCGTTTCTTCTATAACACAAATGAAAGGATAGGAATTAGACCGCCAACAGTTACCTTATTAAACACTAGAAGAGCAAGCTAATGGAGGAAAGTGCCACCACCTGGTGAAAAGTAAAACAGTATTTTTTATGCACACACACACGTTGTGTATAGATACTATCATTACCTTCCCATTTTATAAATACTACTCAATCAAAAAATTTTAATTGCTTATCTGCCACCGGTGAATACAGATTTAGGGAGTGACAACTAACATCTGAATATCTACTATGTGCCAGATATTTCACATATATCTTACTTACTTGTTTATTCTTGGTTCCTAAATGAGAAAACCCAGGTTCAGAGATTTGACTCCTGCCCAAGTTACACAGTGATGCCTAAGCTGGAATTGAATCTTAAGCTATTTGATTCTAAAACCCAAGTTCTTTCACCCAGAGCCAATACTGCCAACCAAAATGAATAGATTTTCTAATCAAAAAATTCTAAATGCATTCTGAGTTTTGCCACCTATCTAAAGGGTCATTGAGAAATCAAAACCTCTTCAGTTTTGTTTTCTCAGAAGATGGGGATATTGGTCTGGGCACATAGCTCCATGGTAGTGCTTACTTAGCATGCTCAAGGCCCTGAGTTCAACCCAGGTTCAACCCAGTGGTATTACCAGCGTCAACTTTAAGCTGATGTGAGGATGAAGGCACAGTGACACAATGTGCCTGACAAGCCTCCAATGCGCAGGAAACAATGACCACACAGGGAGTAGCCAACTTTTCCTGTAAAGTTTTAAGCTTTGCAAGACTCATACCATCACTCTTGCATATTCTTTTTTTATTTTATAGTCCTTTAAAAATAAGAAAATGCTTCTTGGCTCCCCACTTCAGGCCACAATGGCCTGAAGCACATTCAAACCATAGATAGTTTGCTGACCTCTGTAAACATTTATTTACACTATTACCATAAATGAAAATAAACAGTAAGTTAGGGACCACCTAAAGGCTATGTTAAACCTTTCAATCTATTTCTTCATTTACTATCACAAAAATCATCAATAAACTTCAAAAGAAACAATATTACCTTTTTTTCTGGAGAGAACTTGAGGGGCTCTACAATGTACAAATCATTTGGGTCCACTACAAGTAAGAAAAGAAAAGCAGTTATGAAATTAAAAAGTGGGTCATGCTATGATTAAACCCTAAAAAATATATCATTCCTTAGTGATTACTTTATTAAAAAGAACCAGTGGATTTATATTTAAACCAGGCTAACTATATATTTACGCATTTTAAAAGTCAAAAGAAGCAAGGTAGGAGAAGGTATCATTCTTATTATGGATGTGGTCAAAGTTATTTGAAGGTAACAGCCTTCAAATTAAGTTTTTAATTAATAACTGGCTATCAATCAGCAAAGAAAGGATACTTCTCTGGGGCCAGCCCCTCTTACCTGATAAAAAATATAACATAAGTGGTAAGCTAATACCAAACCAACAGAATGTTTTAAATTTTCCTGAAAAGACTAAACTATACTATGTCACAAAGGTGGGTTAAAAATGTGCAACAAGCATTGTGATCATGTATAGAAGCTAGTTAGAGGAACCTATATACAAAAAGAGATTCAAGAAATATTGCTCTAATTATCACTATGATTAAAACTATTAACTCCAAAATCTAACAGCTTGAACATGCATCACATATATATATATATATGAATATGTGAGTGTGTGTGTGTGTGTGTGTATCTCCAAGCAATGGATAAACACTTCTAAGTTTATAGTAAATAAATTAGATCTAACTTTTAGATTGAAGTTTCTAAAATTTCATTATTCAAAGCACATTCAAGTTACTCTTAATTCACCTCTATAGTGATAAGCATACATATAAGGTAAGTCCTATTCAATCAGTTAAACCAATTTAGGACCTGACAGAGACAACTAATTTATAAGAAACAAATTCACTGTAAATCTTCTACTGATTGATGTCTAATAATGGTCATTATATTCCTAAGATCAAACTCTCCACTGAATGCAAGTAAATATGACGGGCAAAACAAACAAACAAAACCACTAAAAGCAATGAATAGCTGCCAAGACAGTAAATACTACCTCTGGGCCAAAAGTAAAGGAAAACTAAGGGCCCAGATAGCCAAGTGGAATACAAGTCATTTTTGTCCTGAGGGCATTTGCCAATACACAAATACATGAACTTTGGTTCTGATGGTATCACAAACAAATGGAACAGAAATCGGATCCCTGGGCCAAATGGAAGTAGTAGTCGTGGGGTACTCTCTCCTACTGAGTAGTAAGGTGGGAATAAAAAGGACCATATCTTCAGTTAAAGAATGAATTTGCAGTTTGGATGGGAAGTTCTCAATACCTGGTAGCCCAACAAACTTCAAGCCATGAATATAAAGCAAATACAAACACGTTACCTCTTAAATTAGCCTGACAAATCATTTTTCAAATTGGAGTAGCACACCAAAGACAACCAAATTCATGAACACATGTGATCAAGAGCCTACAAAGACAATTTAATGAACAGATTCTCAAATATTTAATGTTAGAATTGGCACAAACAGATGGTAAAGAAGCTTATGCTTACTATATTTAAATTAAAAAAGCCTGAAAACATCCACTGGAAATATAAAAGAAGAAAAAAAACTAAGATATTTTTAATGAAGCACTAAAAGAACTCCTAGAAAAATGAAAATGTAGTAACAGAAATTAAAAATTCAATGAATGAATGTAATAACAGACTAGATACAACTAAAGATTGTGTGGCCTGCAGGACAGATCAGGAAAAGAAAACAAAAGACAAGTAAAAACAAAATCCAGCTAGAAAGGCAAAAAGATGGAAAGTTTACATGACAAGACAAGATGTGGGGAGAAGTGCTAATACATTTGATTAAAAATCTGAGGAGAAAAGAGAATGGGATAGACATAATATTTGGGGGCGGGAGGATGACTGAGAACTTCCCAGTACTGATAAAGGACAACAGTTCAGAGAAACAAAGAGCCCACTAAGTCTCAAATACGATTAAAGGGGAAAAATGGAGATTAGTATTTCAGAGGTTTAAGGGGGAAATGATGATAAATGGAAGACCTTAGGGAAAAAGGAGTGAAGTCCAAAGAACTTAGTATGTAAATTTAAATAAATATTAAATGTAAAGCGCACCCAAAACAATGGAATTAAAATACACAAAACAAACATAAATCAAGCTGGAGAAAAGTAAGTTTTACAATCTTTGTACTTCAGAATGAGGTAAAGATATTAATTATAGACTTTGGTATCTGTCATTTCTAGGGTAATCAATAAAGAACAAAAACTACAATTTCCAACCTAATGGCAGAAAAAGGGAAACAGTCTGCTTCTTTCTCAACACGATACCATAATGAAGGAAGAAGGGGGAGCGGAAAGAACAGGAAACAGACAAAAAGGGGAGCACCTCCATACTAATGCATTCTCATGTTTAGAATAAATGAACAGATTCTTGAAATTTGTAATTTAAAATGATGAGAAAAACCTCACTCCTATACACTGAGCTAAAGGTCCAAAACTCTTCTTACAAAGAAAATTCTATCTTCTCCAAAAAAAGAGAGAAAATTCTAGAACCACATAACTTTACTGATTCAAAAAGAAATACTTTTAATCTTAAACTCTTTCTGAGAATAGTCTTACCCATCTAATGTTTATAAGCCTTATATACCAAAACCACACACTTTAAATACATATCAAAAGAAAGCAAGACTAAATTTCAGACAGACCAGACTTTTTAAAAAATAATTGTTTTAGTTGTCAATAGACCTTTATTTAATTAATTTACTTACATATTGTATGTGGTGCTGAAGATTGAACCCAGTGCCTCACAATGCTAGGCAAGTGCTCTATCACTAAGCTACAGTCCCAGCGCCTAGAGCAGACTTTAGATAAAAGTAATGCATTCTTTCTCAGGAATAAAGAAGAGCATTACATAATGATAAAGGGGTCAAAATTCTAAGAGAGAAAGATCCTTTGTGTGTATGCACTTAATGACAGTATCAAAAGACGTGAGGCAAAAATGGTAGAAATGCAAAGATAAATGAAGAAATCCACTATTATAGAGAGACAGAGAGACTTTACACCACACCTTTATCAGAAATAGATCTGGCAGACATAAATTTAGTAAGGACATAATGGAACTCAACTGCACCAAAATCTTTTATTTCTACCTACCTGCAAAGCACATATAGCTACAGATACCAACAGAGATGTACTGTTCCTTCCCAAAGTAATCTGTAGAGTCAAAGTAACCTTAACCAAAAGCTTAATACTGTCTTTTTAATGAAAACAATCGGTGATTCCCACCCCCACCCCCCCACCCCCGCCCTGGGGATTGAACTTAGGGGCCTTCAAACACTGAGCTACAACCCCAGCCCTTTTTTGTTTTTTATTTAGAGACAGGTTCTCGATAAGTTGCTGAGGCTGGCTTTGAACTCATGATCCTCCTGCCTCAGCATCTGGAGCTATTAGGATGACAGGCATGCGCCACTGTGCCCGGCTTAAATGGTGATTCTAAATTTCATGGAAATTCAGAGAGCCATTAATGGCCAAGAAACCTGAGCTAACTGAATTCCATGTAAAATTGGTACCACTACACCAAACACAAAATATCAATTTCAGGCAAATTAAAGATCTAAAAATCAAAGATAAATATTTAGAACCTTAAGACTACCATCCATAAATGTGAAGTTAAAAAAAAAAAAGTTTAAGAGATAAAGAAGTTAGTACCATAAGGTAAAAAAATTCAGATTTGATTATAATAAAACTTTAAGAGCTTCCCTGTCTCATTTAATATAACAAGAGTTAAAAAAAAAAAATAAGTGGCACATGCTTGTAATCCCAGCTACTTGGGTAGATGAGGCAAAAGTATCACAAGTTTGAGGCCAGCAATTTAGGCCCTGTCTCAAAATCCAAACCAAGGTAGGGCGGGAACAAGATAAGTCTCAAGAGTAAAATATGATACCTACTACATATCTGACTGACCAACACAGAGAATCCAAATCCTAAAAATAAATAAAAGCCAGTCAGAAAAAGGCAAACAATCCAGTAAAAGAATTGGTAAAAATTTTAAAAGACCCAAGAAAACCAAATAATCAAAAGGCTTAAGATGCTCAATTTCTTCAGTGATCAGGTAAATACAAATTACAACTGCAATGAAGTTAACAAACACTTTAAAACTTAACAATTTCAAGTGTTAGTAAGAATGTAAAACAACAAAAATTCTCAGTACTGGTAAAAGCATAAGCTAATAGGATCACTTTGGAAAAATTTGCCATTATCTCATAATTTGCCAAGAAACATACAGTACAACCCACAATTTTATATCTATGTAGTATTCCTAGGGAAACTCAAGTCACTGCATTTTTTTTTTCTGGGTCAGAAAACACACTCAGGCTTTATTTAATATAGTTGTTAACATATGTGTCTGCCTGATACCCTTTCTCCTCCTCCTTTTTTTACATGAGCTCTCTTCTTATTATTATTATTATTATTTATTATTATTATTTTTTAACCCAGTGCCTCACAATGCTAGGCAAGCGCTCTATCACTAAACCACAGTCCCAGCACCTAGAATCTATGTAGTATTCCTAGGGAAACTCAAGCAACTGCATTCTTTTTTTTTTTTTTTCCCCCTGGGTCAGAACACATTCTCAGGCTTAATATAGGTTAACATTTGTGTCTGCCTGATACCCTTTCTCCTCCTCTTTTTATTTTATTTTTCCCACAAGCTCTCTTATTATTTTGACCCAGTAACTCACAATGCTAGGCAAGTGCTCTATCACTAAGCCATAGTCCCAGCGCCTAGAGCAGACTTTAGATAAAGGTGTATTAAGAATTGTAAAGCAACTTCATTCTAATATGCAAACATAGAAAGGTTTATAGCAGCATTATCTATAATAGCCCAAACCATACAAAATAGTAGAATGGATACCCTGTGATTTAATCAGTTACTGAAATACTAAATAACACCGGAAATGGAATGTAATCATATATGAACTGTACAAATACAATGTAGAATGAAGGGGACCCCCCCCCCCCAAAAAAAAGTACACTTGATATAACTCCATTTATCAAAAGTGCTAGGGCTGGGGACATAGCTCAGTGGCAGAGTGCTTTCTTAGACAATTTGAGGCCTTGGACTTGATCCCCAGTAGTGGAAGAAAAAAAAGCAAAAACCTCAAAGCCAGGCAAAGATCAAATTAATTGTTGAGGAATCCAAATGCTGATGGTAAAGCTATTAAGAAAATGAAAAATATGATTATTTCAAAAGTCAAGAAACTAGTTACCTCTGGGAGAAGGAATCTCAAGGATGCTAGCTAGCTATGTGCTATTTCTTGATCAGGGTAATAGTCACACTTTATAATGTTCACTTTATAATCATTCAATGCGTTGTACATGTTAGTTTTACAAACTTTTATGTATTTCTCATACTTCCCAATAAAAATGTGGTTTGAAATAAAAATAACTTTGGTTGCTAAGGCTGGGTCAACAAAAGAAATAGTTAAATATCTGAGCACCCTTCTCAACCAAAATATTTCAAGGGTTTTATGCATTTACTATTAGTGTTTTCCTCCATTATAAGTCTATAAAGCTATCCAGGCACAGGACCATCTCAATGCCCTCAATGAGGTTTTCAACATTTTGGTTTTACATAATCATATGGAGAAAGAAATTACCTTAGGGTCCCTTCATTTGCTGAAAATTTTTCAAAAATATAAAAAATACAATGAAAATTGTGAAATATAATGCTGGTATTACCTTTTAGGGCTTGGATATTGATTACTTTTAGGAAGTTTTGACATATAATCTCCATCAAATTGAGAAGTGTTTCGACGACGTTGCATACAAAGCATCAGTCCCAATACAACACAGAGAACCAAAGATATGGGGCTGGGGCTATGGCTCAGTGGTAGAGCACTTGCCTAGCACAGGTGAGGCACTGGGCTCAATCCTCATCACCACATAAAAAATACATAAAATAAAGTTATAAAAAATATATTTTTTAAAAATCAAAAATATAAATTTGAGGAAGACAAAAGAAGGACACTAAAAGGTTTCATTCAAACAGGTGAAGTAATATGTGAATTAACTAGTTAATAGCAGATTCAGGATTAAAGTCAATCTCCTACCTACTGGATTCAACTTTTTTTAAGCCAAGATAACATCATTGCTTAAAATAGAAGTAATTCTATTATCAGAAGCAAAGGCTCCTCTATTTGGCTTTAAGAATTAGACACACACACAGAAAAAAAAAAAAGCCAGAGTTTCACTTAAGACTTTACAAAAAAGGAAAATAGCACACTATATTTCCTAACTGCATGAATACACCTAAAATTTGCATAAATTCCCACCAGAATGGCTACAAGACACAAAATACTAAACATTTACTGGAATGTGGAACAAGGGGACTGGCAGACGGAAGGAAAAATTCACAAAGCACTCTGGAAGACCGTGGAAGTATTTACTAAAGCTGAAAACATGCACACCCTGCTTCCCACCACTCCATTTCCATGCATATATACAGCAGAAATGCACACATGTGTTTGCCAAAAGAGAGCTCAAAATGTAAATGAAAAATGTGTGGTCAATTTGTATAATAGAAAACCTCACAGCAATGAGAATAAACAACTATACTCAATGGCACAGTGGAGCAAATACTAGAAGTCAAATACTAGCTACCTAGGGAGGAAAAACACAAAGAAGGTTTTGAGGTGCTGAATAATGCTCTGCCTCTTAATCTCATATAATTTACACAACACAAGTGTGTTGAGTTTGTGAAAATAGATTAAGCTTTACACATGATTATACCTTATATACTTAAAAAAAAAATAAAAAAGACATATTAACCAAAAGAAAAAAAGGTGGGGAGGAGAGGGAAGCAAGCATGAAGAAAAAAGAGATTTACTGGCCCTAAATAAATACACACATAATAGTTAAGCCTGGAAAGCTTTATCATAATAATAAACTAATAAAGCTCATGAATGAGTACTTGAACAAGTCAATCAACTAAAACATGCTGCTCAGTTACTAAAATCCTAACGAAAGGCAGAACAGCCAATGATTAAGAAAGCACTCCTAACTGTAATATATAATTAATTGGTTATTTTAATATTGGTATGAAGACAAGTTTCTAAGTTTCTTAATAAGCACTAATTATGAAGTAATAAAACAGGAAAACAGCCACTCAATATGCATCCATTCACTTAAATATAAGTATTTACTGAATGTTAGATAGAACCCAATTATAGACTCAGGCTATAAAGACAAGAGATCAGCTTTTCTTTTAGAAAGTGCCTCGTAGTCCTAAACTAGAGACAAAAGGGGTCCTACCTGTACAGGAAGAGAGGCAGATAAGCACAGGATGCTATGGGAGCACATTCTGGTTTCCATATCTGTTGAACTTTCTCAAACATCCCTTTCTAAAAAGAAATACTTCTAAACAGGAGCATGTGCAAACAAAACTACCAGTTGCTAATTAAATAAACCAGGCCCCCCCTCCCCACCCTTTGGGTTTTTAAAGAACAAAGAGATATGTGAAAGTGATAAAGTGGTTTTGACACAGCACAAACACAAAGGTTACTTGTATTCATTTTTGGTTGCAGGTGGTCATGAACACATTGACATTATATATGCCAGAAGCAGCTAGTCTCATATTTACATATACATATTACATAGTCACAACAATCTACCTTCTTTGCCAGTTAACTGTAAAGACTTGGATCTGATGAGTGGAAATGAAGTTCTTCTTTTCAAATTCATATCATCGTAGGAAGAGAAACACCTAACACATTAAGAAAAATTAATATTGGGCACAATGAGTACACTACAGACATAATTTTCTTTGTATTTGAGGTTAAATAAAAGCTACTGAGAACTGCACATACTACATGGGACTAAGTCTAAATTAATATACCAATTATTGCTTAGGTTAAAAAATTCTTGTCTAAAAGTTATTATATTAAAAAAATAGTAAAGTTTTAAAAAAAGTTATTATATTGAAATATCTATTCTCCTCCTCCTTTGAATTCCATATCTGAGCACCCTTCTCAACCAAAATATTTCAAGGGTTTTATGCATTTACTATTAGTGTTTTCCTCCATTATAAGTCTATAAAGCTATCCAGGCACAGGACCATCTCAATGCCCTCAATGAGGTTTTCAACATTTTGGTTTTACATAATCATATGGAGAAAGAAATTACCTTAGGGTCCCTTCATTTGCTGAAAATTTTTCAAAAATATAAAAAATACAATGAAAATTGTGAAATATAATGCTGGTATTACCTTTTAGGGCTTGGATATTGATTACTTTTAGGAAGTTTTGACATATAATCTCCATCAAATTGAGAAGTGTTTCGACAACGTTGCATACAAAGCATCAGTCCCAATACAACACAGAGAACCAAAGATATGACAAGATAGCTTTGTCGATCTGAAACCTGAGATGAGAAGAGGGTTAAAGAATAATAATTATAATAATAAATCATATTATGAAAAATATAGTGTAAAACTCAAAGAAGAAATCATTTGTTTTTCAATGTGCTTCCAAACTATGAATGCAGGGTGTTCTCTGAAAATGAACTATTAAAATAATGGTTGTTTGTTTTCTGCTTTCTCCCCATCCAATTCTTTGTCTGAAAACCGTAAACTTAGGGAATAGTTTTAAAAACAGTACAATGAAAGTATTATGTCTTTCATCTGTGTTCAACTATCATTAACATTTTGTTACAATTGGTTTATCCTTTCATTTGCACTACCTCTTTCTCAGGGAAGCGGGGGGACCAACCAACATGTGTGTGTTTGTTTGTTTGTTTTTTTAATCCAGTCTTTCCCATCATATAAAACAGAATCACTAGTCATCCAGGTATTTAAGCCCAAAACCTGGAGATCATCCTTAGTTCCTTGTCCCCACATACCAATATTTTAGCAAGGTTTATTACTTTTCCACATCTTAAATATACCCTGAATTCACACTCTTCTCTACTTCAAGACAACATTACCTCACTCAAATTACTGTAACTAGCTCTTAACTGGTTTCCTTCCTGTTCTGCCCTTGCTGTTCCTCAATGGGCAATTCTCCATACTGCAACAAGTGGGGAGTTTCTTCCACATGTCAAACAATAATCCATACCATTTCTTTACTTACCATTTTCCAATGAATTGCAATGATAAGAATAAATTTCAAACTCTAACTTACCTACAAGTCTCACACAACCAACAAGCAGGTTCCTGCCAACATCCTGAATCCATTTCTTAGCCTCACTTTTCTCACACTGCTCCAGCCACCAGCTTTCTTTCTGACCTCAAATACATCACACACTGTTTATAATAATAAACCATATTATGGGTTCTTTGCCCTAGTTCTACTAGTACAGACTGCTAAATATTTTGAGCTCTCAGTTCTAAGGCCACTTTCTTAGATAAGACTTCCAAGAACAGCCTAGCTAAAACAGCATGCTCTGTAACTATCACCACCCTACACGCCTACATTTCATTCTTTTCACAGCCCCCATCACAGAGATTTATCATCTGTTCACATATTTACCATTTGTATTCTACTCCTTCACCAGAAAGTAAACCCTGTGAGGCCAGGAAGTACTGCACCAACACAGCACTGTGCAGCTAATGCTGTTTACATACATTGATCATTCAATAAATAGTTGTTAAATCAACCAAGTTTCTGCTTTATTGAACAACTTTACAAACCTTTTTGAATTGAAGTATGTGTTTTGACCATGTTGAAAAGTGTTTGAGAAGTGTTTCAACAACGCTGCATACAAAGCATCAGTCCCAACACAACAGAGAACCAAAGATATGACAAGATCACTTTGTCAATCTGTTACTCTCATTTTTATAAAAGGCCTGCGAGAATAGTCCTATTACTGATAGTATCTAAATCACAAAAGCCATGTTTTACAAAAATTTTGATAATTGATGTATTCCCAAAACTCTGAATGCTCTATTTTGATGTCTGAAAAAGTTCTGCATGACAGTTTTGTTTGGTTAAAGTTTTTAGTTCTCATGTTCATGTTTATAAGCCTGTATTTATAATATCCACATGGTGTACTGTGTCCTACAAGAGCAGCAATAATAATTACCTCCCGTTTTAATTCTGCTACTGTTGTTGATAAGTTTGAAACAAGTTGTGTCATGTTGGTCAGTTGTGCCTGTAGCAACTGGATGGCTTCAGTTTGCCGCTGATCCTATAATAAAATATTAAGTATTATTTTTCCTAGTTTGTAATTAAGTAATTATAAATTCAAATAAAACTTATAATCTGGAAAAATGCCAAGTTCTTCTAAAAAAACATACTAATAAGGTCTTAATAGATATTATAAACTTCGACCAAAGAACACTTCAAGAATCTGGGACTGTGTTCAACCATCTCCCTCAAAAACACTTTTTGTCAACTCACTGCTGCAATGTCAACTACTGTGTGACATTAACAAATCACTTTTCAACACATGTGGGCTCCATATGTATAAAGCAGCATGTAATACAAACTATCAATGTCAAATGTGTTTTTAAAGCAAAATGGTAGCAGAATGATATGCTGAAGTATCTTTGAAGAATGTTTCTGGATACAAAGTAAACTCAAAGAGATTTTAAAATTTCCTTATATCACACCAATGAAAAAAATTCATCAGGGGCTGGGGATGTGGCTCAAGCGGTATCGCGCTCGCCTGGCATGCGTGCGGCCCGGGTTCGATCCTCAGCACATACAAACAACGATGTTGTGTCCGCCAAAAACTGAAAAATAAAATATTTAAATTCTCTCTCCTCTCTCTCTAAAAAAAAAAAAAAGAAAGAAAAAAAAAATTCATCAAAATTACCTATCTTTCCATTTTTTAGATAGTTCTGAATTTCAGAAACTTTCATCATTAACAAGTATGTTTTCAATAAAATAACGTTTGCAACCATATTTTAGGAAATTATGTATCACATAGTTATGAATCTTTGCTAGGTAGACTGTATAGAAAATTTGAAGCTATTAAGAATATGGGGAGGAGGAAAAGAAGGCAGGAAGAAATCAAGGAAATCTAAAACTCTAATTTATGCCTAATGCATCTACATAACCAGACATTATTCTAGACCTAAGTTTTTCAAATTAGTTTTAAGTCTTAGCTGTATATGTGGGGGAGAAGAATGTATAAATAACAGGTTTCACATTCTTTGCTGTGATCCACTGTGGTAACTTCTATCCTATTTTTTTTTTAATGCTAAGGTGATTCATTAAATCATTTATTTTGAATTCTGACTCATATATGACACTGATAAGTTCAAGACAGTTATAAACATGTAAAGGCCAAACTCTTAAATTTAATAAGATAGTTAATAGTTCAAAGCAAGATTTACTTCCAATGGTTTTAAACAGTAAAATCACTGAAAAGTACTTATGTAAGTTTGTGAGATGCAAGATATAGCTGTTACAAATTAAGCAAAAAGAAAATGGCAGAGGAGAAATCACTGTATTAAAATTAATGAATTCCTAGGGACATACTATGTTCATGGGTCAGAAAACTTAAATGTTAACATGTCAATTCACCAGCTGGATGCAGAGGGAAGCTGAGAAAAGGAAGATTACAAGTTCTAGGCAAGCCTCAGCAACTTAGTAAGGCCCTCAAAAACTTTTTTTCTCAAAAAATAAAAGGGCTGGGGATGCAGCTTAGTGGTAAAGTACCCCTGGGTTAAATTTTCAGTATGTCTTAAAAAAAAGTCAATTCTCTTAAGTTAATCTATAAATTCAACACATTTTCAGTCAAGATACAAAGAGTTTGTTTTGACTTTCAAAACAATCTAAGAGAAAAAAACTTGGTGGTATAAGCATAAAGACAGATAACATATCAATAGAATAGGAATAAAAACCAGAAAGTGACCCAAATATATATGGTGAATTGATTTTTATCAAAAGTGCAGAGAATATTCAGTATAGAAAGGATAGACTTTTCAGCAAATGCTGCTAGAACAAATGGATATTCCATTCCATCCCTTTTCCCAAAAGAACTTTGATCTATATCCACATAAAATTTAACTAAAATGAATCATAAACACAATGTAAAACTAAAAGTTATCAAACTTCTAAATGGAAAGAAAACTATCGTGCCTCTGCCTTGGGCAAAGATTTCATAGAATAACATGAAAACTGATAAATTAGGCTTCAACAAATCAAAACTTCTGCTCCTCAAACCATGCTGTGGAAAATGAGAAAATTAGTAATGGACTTGGAGAAGATATTTGAAAGCATATCTCTGACAAATAACTTGTATTAAGATGTAAAAAACTCTCAAATTTCAAAAAACCAATAAGGGAAGAATCACAATTACAATGTGCTGTGAACAGAAGGCAAGAGGCAATTGACTGAACAGCAGCTTGCATTCTCCTTGCCTCACCACCCCTTAAAAAAACCAAATATCCTTGGAAGTAAGTTTTCCAAGTACAACACTTCTTTATTGTGATAACATACTCACACATCATACTTGAAGGTACAACACTGTATCCCCTTAAAATCAACAGTATAGGAGAGTGACCACTATCATCAGTCCTACTCTATTACTACATAGCTCTAGCCAAGAAAGAAAAAAATAAAATGGTGTAAAAATTAAAACAAGAAATTAACCTGTTCTTATCTGTAGTCAATAAGATTATCTACATAGAAAACCATGAAAGGGGACTGGGGTTGTGGCTCAGTGGTAATGCGCTTGCATAGCATGCGTGAGGCACTGGATTAAATTCTCAGTACACATACAAATTAAAAATAAATAAATAAATAAAGGTCCATCAACAACTAAAAAATATTTAAAAGAAAAAAAAAAAAGAAAGAAAAGAAAACCATGAAAGATTTTAGGGTTTCACACAGTTGCAGAAAAGCTCACCAGACACACAAAATATAATATGTTATGCTTAAGAACATTTTCTCCATAAGAGATAATGATTCTAATGGCTAGATACCTCCCCAAATGCTACATCACATCCAGGCTTAAAAGGGGAAAAATGAACCAACCTACTTATGCTTTTCACCTGTTATAGGCTATACAATTCAATGGGTATTTGTACAGGATGAAGGAAAAAAACCAACCTGTTCCTCTGCTATTCTTGAAGTATTCTGAAGTTTTACTATTGTTTTATTGAAAGCCTTCTGCATTTCTTCCATCTGTTTTCGGTACCTACAGAGTAAGAACTGGTTTAAGTTTAATTTCTTCTTCATTTATTACTGGAAGGGTGCTTCTAATTTTGATATATGACATAAATCCATTTTTCGTAAAACAACTCTTATTCAAGCTTATGCAATACAGGAAAACTTACAAAGATATAAAAAAGAGGTTTTTGAGGTACTGACTGGCTCCCTAAACATCAAGTCTATATGCATCTCATTGCTATATAATATTTAATGATTACTGTGGTTTCCTTGGGGTGCAGCAGGCATGAAGTAACTAAGTGGGTAGGCACACACACAACACACAATTTGTCTATCAATTATATGTATAAATTAGGGAGAATCCCCCTTTAGGATACAAGGACCACTTTACTGACATATCATCAGTAGCATTTCAACGTAATAGGAGCAAGAAAATGTGGTATTTTAAGAACTCTGGACCCCTGGTGCCTAGGTGATTGCATGATGTTAGAGGAGAAGCCCTGAGAACATTGAACAATGAAGGGATTAAAAAAAGAAAACAGGACTGGGTTATAGTTCAGCTGGGTCTGATTCTCAGCACCACATACAAGTAAAGGTCCATCAACAACTAAGAAATATTGGGGGGGGGGGGGGGGGGGGGAGGAAAGAGAAAACAAGGAGAACCGTGCCCGAGTCTTAATCACTGTGTAAGTATATTGGCACTGCCTCTGACACTTAGGAGTACAAGGGCATAAATTGTTACAATTAGAACTGGGATTCTATGACCTGTATAAAAGAGTACAGATTGCAAATGTTGCCTAATCATCCAGTTCAGTCCATTTTTGTGTTATGTATGTATCATCTTAAACGATACCTGGTCACGTCCCACTAAGAGGTTTAAGGCCTATATATTTTTTCCCATGTACTCTCTGGAAATCAAACAGTAAAAGAGGCTGAAGTTAAGCAGTGGGAGAAGAAAGGAGAAAGTGAACTTAGGTGTAGTGATGTGTGACTGTAGTTCCAGCTACTCAGGAGGTTAAGGCTAAAGAATCACTTTAGCTCAGGAGTTTCAGATTAGCATAGCAACACAGTAAGACTCATAAAAAAGGAAAAGAAAGAAATAAGAAAAGAGTACATATATATAATGGAAAAACTGAACATAGGTGACACAAACTTGTTACAAGCCTAATAATAAAGGTGTGTGTCACTGAGTAGTACTTCTAAAACTTAATAAAATAAATTAAGCCACTGTTCAGCACCCACAGATCAAACTCTGCTACTAAATTTACCATGTGAAATGGGTTAATTCACAATAAACTTACCTTTGGCTAAGCTCCTCCAGATAGCGACCACTAAGAGACATGTTAACTTCTAAGGCTTTAATACGATTATTAAGTCTCATAAATACTGACTCCTTTTGGTTTGATCCATGTACAAGATTTCCATTAGCATATCCTAGATCTGTAGAGTTTTGTAATTCAGCATAGAAATCTGTAGCTGTCCTCTGTAACCCTTTCAAAAGGGCATCTTCTGGAGACTGTTCTTCCTCTTTTACTTCAGGCAATGAAGAAGAATCTACAACAGGAGTCAAAGTTTGCTTTGGTGTGTCGGCTGTGTTCATTTTGGTTTCCCCATCTTCACTCTCAGGCACAATGGCTGTGTTTATAGGTGGAACTACTGTTTCAGATAGCTTTGTAATAATTGGCAAGGAGGCCATATCTTCTTTTACAATATTATCCATAACCTCATTAACTTTATTTGTTTCATAGCTAAGAGATGGCTTTTCTATGTTACTAAAGCTCTCAGACTTCTTTTCTGATTCATCATCAACCTCAATAGAACTCTCTTGGGGAATCACTTGTGATGGTGTGTGCCCTGCCTCATGTTTAACAGATTCAGACATTTCCATTTTAGATAATGAATTGATTTCTGGAGTAATATCTAAGAAAAGAGACTGAGAAAGAGTTTGAGGATGGCTTGGTTCAAGTTCAATCACACCCATAGTGTGATTCATCAAATCACCTTGTTGCATACTACTTAAGTCATCAAGAACAGCAGTTTCAGCTTCCCTTTCCATACTACTCTTGGTGTCCAATTCTCCACTTGGAGGCTGCAATACTGAAACATCTACTGATTCTTCAGGAAGCAGGAAGGATGGTGGAGCTGACATAAGATAATCTTTTTCTCTGCTCACTGCAGTTCTGCTGCGCTGCCGATAAAGCGCAATTCCAACTGAACACCATTTATATACATATTCCGAAAAACTAGAAATACAACAAATTGTGGTCAGTTCACTGCAAAATATTTGTGTCTCTGACTCAAACCAGGGTGATGATTCATCTTCTTGTTCGCCACTGCCCAGAAGGGTCACTGTGGATGGACCTGACTCCTCTTCTTCCTCTTGAACTAGCTGTACAATGGGACTCTCTTTTGGAGTTTCAGGTGTTGAAGACTCTGTGTCATATACATGTACTTCAGTGGTTACATACCTAAAATATATATATAGAAGAATTACAAATCACTTTAATTAGAAATCTAAAGCTAAAATATGTTTAAGGAATATAGATGTAACAGACATAATGTAAAGGGAGGTCTGGAAGTATAGAAGAAATTAAAACATTTGGATTATATTTTCTCCATCAAATAATTTCATTATAAAAAATATTGCTCAGGGGTTGGGGATATAGCTCAGTTGGTAGAGTGCCTGCCTCGCATGCATAAGGCCCTGGGTTCAATTCCCAGCACCATACACACACACACACACACACACACACACACACACACACACACATATATCTTAGAAATGGTAGCAGAAAGTCTACTTGATCAGCCAGGTGACTCAAACCATCATATTACACTGGACTTTTTAATCTGTTTAAGAATTGTCTATGAGCACCTTCCATTCCCTGAATGTACAGTGTACCTTTCTTTCCATAAAAGCTGACTAAATCTTTATAAGCTTTACTACCCTTTACAGATGAGAAATTAAGCTACTGAAGAGCTAAAACTATAACCCAGAATTCTTAATATTTATAAATGCACTTTGGGCTTATCTTCAAAAGACAAATTTCTCACAGACAAATAAATTTTCTATAGATAAGGAATTTCAACTCATACACAAAATTATCTGCTTTAGGGAGAATAAATACTTCTAGGCAAAATGATAATAATACCATCTGGGCCAATTTTTTATTATTAAAAGCCAAAAGGCAAATAATCGCTTAATAAAAATCCTGGCTTATCATACACTAATACAGTACCACTAACTTATGTTCTTCATTGAGCTGTGGTGTGGAGAACAGAAAGATAATTTTGGTGAGAACAGGGTTATAAATTATAATGCCTATGGTTCCTTCCAAGATAAAAACAAGTATTTTCTGGAGGTAGCCTTACAGTACAAATGGCACATCCTGAAAAAAAATAAAGTAACCTGAACACCACATTAAAAAAAACAAAACTAAAAAACCCAGTTACTTTCACACACAAATTTTCCTACTTTAAAAAATTATTTTAAAAAATTATTACCAAACTTCAAATAAAGACTAATATCCTAATAGCAAAGGTACTAAAATACCTAAAAAGTGGATTTTCATTTTGTTGACAGTGAAACAGTAAATGGAAATGGAAAAAATGAAAACATCATTATGCCAGGCTTCTCTAAATAGAAAGATGTTTACAGTCAAACACACATGCACAGAGTTACTAATAACATTTTTTACATATTCATGTGGTACACTGCCTATTATCTACAAAATAAATTGTGACAGAAGGAGGAATTTCTGAAGGAAGAAGAAAACTGAAGTGAATCTGGTAAAAATATGTTGCTATATATTACTATATACTCTTATTTAGAGCTATACTTAAAAAAACAAAAACAAAAAAAAAACTCAGAAATTCTGTGAGTCAGTTTTTCCTAACAACTCAATAGTAACATCCTATCATGGATTCTTACATTTTCATCAAAGAATTGCCATATAATCATTAAAAACAATTTAAGTTATAGAAAATGAGGAAATATTTTTTAAAAAATTAGGCAAAGATATCTATTAGAAAACTCTGTAAAATAAAGTGAAACTGCTACATTAGCCCAATGTGATTACATTTTCAAAAAACATTCTATATGTGTGTGTATAAACTTAGATTTAGTTTTGAAAAATAAGACATGCATGTGTTTATTAATTAAAGAAGGCTAGTTACAAAATCAAGAATAGCAATCTCAGGGCTGGGTTTGTGGCTCAGTGGTGAAGCGCTGGCCTAGCATGTATGAGGCATTGGGTTTGATTCTCATCACCACATATAAATAAATAAAATAAAGGTCCATTGACAACTAAAAAAAAATTTTTTTTTAAATAATAAAAAGAATTGCAATCATAGCTCGACATAATTAGAAATACCAAGAAAGTCTCCCTCCCTGGTAGATTCCTTAGGTTCTTCTAGGAATCAATAACACATATGCTATGTTTTCTTTCTAATCACCCAATAAGCATCTTCAATTGTTTACAGGAGTGACATAGGAGAAAGTAAATTTCTCACTATGCTCTTTAAAGCACAAAAATCTTATTTCTGAATCAGTGTAGTACTTAGGAGTTCAAAGCACACCCCGTGCAGTTCTCATTACCTACTACCTTGAACTATTTCAAGTTCAAATCTTTTCTTAAGTAGAGATCCAAAGAGTAAAGGACTTTCAAAGTTTTATAGGGAGTATAAAGAAATATACATAAATTAAATCTACAATAACCACACAAAATTATCCAAATCAATATAATATCACTACCTATTACAGATAAGTATAATTATCAAAAATGTTATCATATCTGATAAAAAATTAAAATTGAGTATATTATGTTACCTCTATATACATCCCTGACCAAAGTGCTCCACCACAACTTGGGGAAAGACCTATATAACTGAATTTGTGCAACAAATACATAATTCAAGAACCATTGCTCTAGGTAATTTATAGCTTTCTAAGGATACCACATATACATAATCATTGCTTTTAATAAAAACGGGCCTTCAAAATTTATCAAGTTTACATTTGCACAATTATTCACAATAACGAAGTACTATTTTCTCAATAAAGACTCAAGTTGTGAATAATATATCCAAGTAAAAAGCATATGGTCTGGAATGAAGTGTATTCCTAGTACACACATACACTAAGACAAGAAGGAACGTAACATGCAAAGTTCTAAGTGGCTGCAGAACATCTGTTCTATGACCCACTTCACACACAAATCACAAGCTGCTGTACCAGTTCACTTAGCTCTCCATTTTAACAGAACTCTATTAATGTTGCAAGAGAACTTACTCAGGTGATGGAACAGGAGCTGAAACAGGAACTGAGTCAGGCATTTTAGGTGCAGCTGTGGCAGTGGCATTCTCAGATATACTTTTATTTCCTATTTTAAGAAAGATGCCCATGTTGAGTTCAATTTTTAAAAGCTGTACCAAGAAAATATTTTACTTTAACAAATAAAGAACTTTAGTTTCTTGGGGGAGAAGGAAAAGAAGTCAAATACGTTTGCTACTGCAGACTTTTTAAAAAATCTCTTTTAGAAAGAAATGATCATACAAGATCACAACTATAAGCAAAGCATATCATTTAACTTCTGGTAATTAAAGCAAATCTGATTATTATAAATTTTACATGATCTTGATTAATATGCCTTCTGACATCTAAAAGAATTATTAAAGGCAATGAAAGGAAATAAATGGGCTATTTTTAGTATTTGGAGCTAACAATTTTTTAAAAAACATGAAAGCATGTTTGCTTCTTCTTGCTAATAATATTCTTACTTACTATTCCATAAGGAAAAAAATGTCTTTCTATATACGTTATACTCAAGAAAAGCAAACCTGAACTGCTAACAGGGCATCAAAATCTCAGTGAAGAGATGGGATAAAACCACAGCTCAGACATTAAAAACAAACAAACAAACAAAAAAACCCCACCAATTGATGAATTCTGTACAGATGAGATTCTTTTGTAAAAAAAGAATTTGCGACATTCAAATAAACAATATACAAGATTTTTAAGTTCCTTAGGGTCATTTCTATATTTCTATAGGAAAATTCGAGATTTCTTGGCTTATCCCTGGATTTTCCTAACTAGAAGGAACCATAAAGTGCCAACTATTTTAAAGACCCATAAGATGATTAGGTACCTTCTGTCATGTCTTCAGTTTTAGCTCCCAGAATATTAGCAGCAATATTCACCATATTTAGAATGGCATCTAAAACAAAATTCAATCAGAAAAAAATACCAATAAACCTACGTATTCCCATATAAATTAATATCAGATAATTAAAGAACTATTATAATGGTCTTTTGCTTTCTTTCTTTCTTGACTAGTTACCTTTTTATTTACTGTTTAAGTCCAATGTAGGACCCAAATAAATTTCAGCCAAAAGCATACACATAAATTTGAATTTTGATATTCAGGAAGAATTTTAAACTTAAATTGTTATAAAGCCACCTCAAACTTTTTACCAAAACACTTAAAACACTTCTTTGGCACATTACAAAATTCAAGTATGATCCAATATACAGTCTATATTGAGACAGGGAGGAAATGTGATCAAATTCATATTTCAAAATTCAAAATTTGTTTTCTTTAAATGGGTTCTATACTTTTAAACAAAAGCAAACAAACAAACAAAAAAAACTTAAAGAAACTAAAGCTTTTCCTGAATGGGTGGCTATCATAGGTAAAAATGAAATGGGGAGATTATTATCCAAAGCAAAGTGGAAAAAGTTTTAGTATTTTTAACTATGCATACAGTAGCTATTTATAATATGGTTAAATTCCAAATTGACACTTTATAAAATTCAAATTTCTTTCATGATTTTAAAATTCATTGGCCAAAATAACAATGTTTCATATATAATTTAAAGCACACCAAGTTTTTTTTGTAATTAGGATGGGGCAAATTAATTAAAATCAAAGTCATAAAACTGAGTATAGCAGGTGAACCAATTTGCATAGTTGGTAATTCTGTTTTTTTCCAGGGGGATATTAAGATAATGACATTTAGAAAACTCTGTAACATAAAGTTACTGCTACAGTAGCCCAATGCGATTACATTTTCAATAAATATTCTATATGTGGAACAAACTTCCATTTTAATATATTTAAATATGAAGACCACAAAACGGCAGAACTCCATAACAAGCTGATACTGTAAACAGGAGGCTTCCTTGCAGTAATGTGACCTAACTTCAAGGAAAATAAACTTCTACCCCAATCCTTGAAGTTCTTTTAGAAGTTAATTCTTCAGTATCAGGTACTTCTCTCCTATTAAAATACTAAGATTTGGCAGGGGCTATTTATCAAGCCTCGTAGTTACTTCCATCTTATTTAATGTCTTCTTTCCTAGATGAGATTCATAAGGTTTTCAACACTTTCAAAGAAAACCAGAGATGTCACTCTCCTGTAATCCTAGCTACTGAGAAGACTTCTTTCTCAAAACAGAAAATAAAAAGGGTTGGGGATGTGGCTCAGTAGTAGAGCACACCTGGGTTCAATCCCCAGTATATCCGCAACAACAAAAACGGCAAAGATGTGAAAAGTAGGAAAGGATATAAAGGAAGAAATCTAGCACATTAAGAAGGCTGGGAGCAGGCTGGGTGTGGCTCAGTGATATAGTGCTCAACTGGCATGCGTGAGGCACTGGGTTCAATCCTCAGCACCACATAGAAATAAATAAATAAATGTACTGTGTCCATCTACAACTAAAAAAAAAGAAAATTATATATAAATATAAAAGAAGGCTGGGAGCAATCTCCTCACTGTCACATGATCTGATGATTCTGTAAATACATTTATGCTATAAGAGAAAAGTAGAAGAGATCTTAAAGACTTTAATAAAAGATGATTACTATTTATTAGTTTTGATCTTAACATAACTGGGATTCTACAGTCAACAAAGTAGTGATACTTGTTTCCAATTATTAGTATAACACAAAAGCTTGACATTTGCCATTTTTAAATGCTTAAATGGCATTTTTTAAAAAAATATTTTTTTTAGTTGTTGATGGACCTTTATTTTGTTTATTTATAGTATGTGGTGCTGAGAATTGAACCAGTGCCTCACACATGCTAGGCAGGCGCTCCACCTGTATGAGCTACAACCCCAGCCCTTAATGGCATTTTTATATATCTTTGCCCTTCAAGCTGGCAAACTGAACAGAAAAGCAGCCCTAGTCCTTACTTGGGCTGAGGAGATGCCTTAGCGTAAGTAAGATAATGATAGGAATGAAAACTCCACATCTCCTCACAGAGCAAGATAGTAAAGAGTGGGAGCTTACTCCCTTGTAAATTCACTTTTTTCCCCATATTTTTTCTTTTTCTTTTTAGATTTACATGACAGTAGAGTGTATTTTGACATATTACACATACATGGAGTATAACTTCCTAATGTTGTGGATAAGCATTCTGATTCGTTTTATTGTCTTTCCCATTCCCTCCCTTCCCTTTGTCTGATCCAATGAACTTCTCTTCTCCAACCCACCCCCGTATTGTATGTTAGCATCTAGCCTATCAGAACTTCTGCTTTTGGTATAAACCCACTTTTAATGCCGATCAATACTGTACTACTAGATATGATCCCCTACTCATACTAAGGCGTGAAGTTCTGTCAAAGCTGAATGTTTCATAAAACCAAATTTTGAAATCAGTCTGTGCTCACTCTCTTGTGCTTCCCTAAGATTTCAAATTTTGGGGCTTGTATTATTTAAAAATTTAATAAAAGAACACAGGTTTTAATCTGTATAAAGAAATTAGCTTTGGAGTATTATTTTTAATATAAATTTTAATACTCGCCCTATAATAAAAAATATTTACACTATCCACCCTATAGAATATTATTTATCACCATCATTTCAGGGTATCAGAAACAAAACAAAAATTTGGCAAATTTCTACTTTCTCAGTCCACTTAACCAAAGAAATAATTTACCTGTGTTCACAGAATACTGCCTAACAGTCTTTTTGTTGGTTTGTTTTGTCTTTTTTGAAAGAAGCAGCATTGTGAATATTCTATTCTGATCATTATCAACTTGGAGCCAAATGCACAACAGCTTGTCATCAAAGTCTTTAGCGTAGATTACAGTAGTAACTTCAGACTGTTAAATTGGATAACTTCCCCTAATTTCTCTTGGATTGGTCAACTCCACTCACTTATTCATCCCAACTTACTCATCCCATCTCTTTCCTACAGGAATAAAATACTCCTAGAAATGTTTGTAGCTTAACTATTACTCAGTCTCCAGCATACAAAGACTCTTTTTGATAGAGAAAACAAAATTCCTGTCCAAGATGCTGAATATTTGCTACAGCACAAGCCAAACCAACAACAACAACAAAAATCTAATATGTGTAGTTATTTGGGGTTTTTTTTAATATTTATTTTTTAGTTGTAGTTGGACACAATACCTTTTTTTAATGTGGTGCTGAGGATCGAACCTAGAGCCTTGCTTGTGCTAGGCGAGTGCTCTACCACTGAGCCCCAGCCCCAGCCCCATGTGTAGTTATTATTTGTACTCATCTTCCCTAAAGCCTAGTTCCATTTCTTCTTTTTCTTCCAGAATTCTCTATATGTAGTTCTAGAATATATGTGAATTCCTGGGGAGGGGGGGAACCCATATATATGCATTCATAAAAAAATACTTAAAAATTCCTTGACTTGAAGCAAAAACTACATTTTATCTTAATCTTATACCTGGAAATTTCTATTTTTAGTAGAATTGGCAATTTTAACAAAATGCAGACCACATATCTATAGAAAAGGCAGACTTTCATCAAAGTAGAAGCCATCTGGCAAACCACATGACAAAGCACAAAGAAAGAAGAGTAATATGTAGAATTCTTATCGACGTAAAAGATTTAAATATTTTAGTTCAAGAATGCAAACAAAAGAATCAGACAGAGAAGGTGACAGAATTGCATATACACAAGCCAAGAATGCTTGCTCTAAGACAGTAGTTACTCCATTTTTAGCAGTTAAATAAAAAACATGATATCCACACTATCTAAATATGCAGTATGTATACTTTTTTATAACCATGTCTCATCAGAATCAAAAGTTCTAACTACAGATTAAGCATCCCTAATTCAAAAATCTGAAACCCCAAATCCAAAATAATCCAAAATTTTTGAGTGCTGACAGGATACCACAAACAGAAAACTTCACATGACCTCAAGTGCTGGGTCTCAGTCAAAACATGGGCACCCTACAGATACTCTATATAAATACCTTCACGAAACAAATGTATTTTGGGTTTAAATTTGGATCCCATCTCCAAGACATCTCATTATACATATGTAAATATTCCAAAATCTAAATCTGAAACACTTTCTAGCTCCATGCAGGGATACTTAAGCTCCTAAACTTACAACAGAAGGAAAAAGGAGTTTCTAAATGTGGTATATTACACAATTGAATATTACTCAGCCATCAAGAAGAATGAAATTATGGCATTTGCCAGTAAATAGATGGAACTGGAGACTATTATGCTAAGTGAAATAAGCCAATCTGGAAAAAAACCAAAGGTGGAATGTTCTGATAGGAAGATGCTAATACAATGGGGGGGAGGGAATAGAAGTTCACTGGATTAGACAAGGAAATGAAAGGAAGGGGGTGGGAACAGGATGGACAATAGAATGAATTGGACATAAGTTTCCTATGTTCATATATGAATACACAACCAGTGTAACTCCACACTGTGTACAACCACAAGAATGGGAAGTTATATTCCATGTATGTGTAATATGTCAAAATACGTTCTAAAAATTTAAAAAAAGAAAAGAAAAAAGGAGTTTCTATTAAGATTAAAATCATAGAATTCTATCTTGTATAGAAATCAAGTACATGTTAAAAACAAGAAGAAATAAATTAGTTTCAAAACAGTCCCATTTAAAACTAACACAGCAATATTGAACTTGGACACCTTAGTGCCAGAGACAAGCCCACTAGCCTAAGTCCATGCTCATTATTTACTTCTTAAGTGACATAACCTAGGAGGCTGTATGTAGTTAAGTCTCTCAGAACAGTTTCAAGTTCTTCAGAGAATACTACAAAGACACAAGTGTAGAAGGCAGCAGTGCTGGATTAGGTGTGACAGTTTCATGAAAACATAGTCTTAATTCTCAAATTCCTGCTGCCTCTCTTGCTCTGAACCTTTAAGAGATAGAGATCATTTTAAATCCCATTTTTCATGCTTATGCTCAGCTAACCACCTTCCACCCATCTGTCTCACTACACAAATGCGCTCAACCATAGCACACTGGGAGGTAAATGAACTGACTTTTCAGAGATCCATTAAAAAAAAAAAGGGTAATCAAGAAACACACTAGTAAAGAGAAAGATCTAAAAAGTAGAATCTCAGTAAGATTCTGTTTAATAATTAAAATAATACATTGGTCAGAGAAATAATTACAAATAGGGCAATGTCTTCTACTGACATACAGTTAGGTGTTAATAACATACAGGATTCAATCTCTCATAGGAAAAAAAGAAAATTTAAAACCCAGAATATCAACATATTTTTGGAATGTGACCCACATCTACCTTAGGGAGGTTAAGTAATTCTAAGGTACTCTCACCTGTCTGGTAACCACCAGAAGCTACAAATCTTTTAGATTGGAGCTATTTTGTAACTCATTTAAAAAATGATAATTACTTAGGTGACTACTTTAGCATCAGTAATTTACTCAAGTGACAGAAAAATGACTATTATGACAAATATAACAAATTTAAGAATGCAAAAAAAAAAAATGAATGTCCAGACAGATAATATAGTTTTTCACTCCTAAAAACACTATATAGCAATAAACAAGACACTTATTTAAGTAATTACTAAGATCTAAAAAGTCAGAATACTAAAAATAAAGTAAAAATATACTGATAGATTTGAAATAAAGTTAAATATTACATGAAAGCCTTCACCTCCTGTAAGTATTTTTAACACTGCTATCTCCATGCCTAAATAAATTCTAATGAAGTCCACAACCCTCTATGGAGAAGAGAAGAAGAGATGGGAAGAAAAGGAAAGAAGATGAAAAGAAAGAAAAGGGACTCTAACTAGATACACACAGCTGTGTAAAATGTCTACCCACATATATGCACTAGTGACTGAATATCCAAAAAAGCTTTAAAGTCAGTATTGACACCAAGATGAGTATTCAAGCCATTCAGTTCACTAATGAGTAAAAAGGAGCTAGTCCTGTATCTTACTAAAACTTACTTTTATTAAATTTGGTTATTAATATCCAATAGAAAACTCCTTCCAGTTAGTTTTATATTCTTCAACAATAATCAAAACTAATATTAGAATATACCTACCCACATCCTAACAATAATACAATATTATTATTTGCCTTTCCAGTAATCTCCTTAGGTGGCCTATCACTAGATCCACATACCACTTTGGAATGAAAACAGTCTAAACGACTAGGTATTTTAGTCATTTCTTTGATTTACAAAGAATAATTACTGCACTTGTTGGTGTGTGTGTGTGTATAAAATTATCATTATACCATAGCTCATTATTAATATGAATAGGAATAGACTTTATATTTTGTGATTAAATAGGAAACTAACCATACCCATAAAAACAAGTCCTCCTCATTCACTAGAACCTCACTGATGTGCTACACCACTTTAATAATTCTTCCCCCCTCCAGTAAATTCATAGCCCTTTCTCCACTGTAAAAATCTTCCCCAAAATGAGTGCTTGAGTAGAAGAAACACCTTTATTTTGCTTGCATTTTAAAATCTCCCCTTTTTTCACCCATTCCTATTTCATTTTCCTTAAAACTACTTTTCAAAAGCTAGTACCTTTGACTTCAACTCAAAAGTTCAAAATTCAGAATAGAATAACCCTAAACTATACCAGAAAAATCTGTCAGAATGAAAAAAAAAATAATAAGAAACACTTTAATAGAATGAATACCCAAAAATACTCACTTGTAGCAGAACCAAGAAGATTTTTTGAAGATTTATCTTCCACGGTATTATAATCCAATGGGTAATCTGTTAAGGAGAAAACAAAGTAATTATGCTAAGAACTAGTTACAATATGTTTAAAAACTCATATCCTGTTAAACAGACATTTAAAACATCCCATTATATGTTGATTATATATCTAAAACATATTTACAAAACAAAGATGAGATTCAGAAGCCATTTAACAATGTCAGCCAAGGAAAACAGTAGTAATGCTTACCAAATTTTCATTCTTTATAAGACTTCATTTGCGTTTTCAATATACTTTACTAACCCTTAGCCAATACCTTAATTTCTTTTATGGGAAAATGATAGAAGACAAGATTTAGATTATTCAAGCTATGTGTCTTCTTCTAGGCTCAGGGCAAATCAAAGAAATTAATGCTCATCTGAACTGTTTCAATCACCTGGTGTGTTTAGCATCTTTTGGGCCTGGCATAATGATATAATCATAATTTATAGCACTGATATGCTGCAAGGGAATTCCAGTAACAACTGACTGAAACTTGGAAAACAACATGATTTATAAAGCAATCATATTAGAAGTTTATGAAAAAAATTACTAGGGATAAAAACAATAAAAGAAACTAGTGACACCAGTCATTGATTTAAGTAACATCACCTATTACTATTAGATTTTATAAAAGTAAAAAGATAATCCTAATAGTTACCTATTTAAAAATCACCTACCATAGTCCTCATCAAATAGTTCTTGACGTTCTGACTGATACTGGGAATCAGCAATTTCTTCATATTCTTCCACCATGCTAGTGCCAAATACCCTAATAACAATTTCGTTAAAAATTTTCATTAAAACAAGAGTTATTAAGACTCATCTCTTCAAAATCTATGATAAATAGCAACTCTAGTAATGTTTTACTTCTGGACTTCAAAATATTGGCTATTTCTTGCATTTCAGTCATCAACTACTTCCATTAAAATATAAATCTGAGGGCTGGGGATGTGGCTAAAGCGGTAGCGTGCTCGCCTGGCATGCGTGCGGCCCGGGTTCCATCCTCAGCGCCACATACAAACAAAGATGTTGAGTCCGCCGAAAACTAAAAAATAAATATTAAAAAATTCTCTCTCTCCCCCTCTCTCTTAAAAAAAAAAAAAAAAAAAATCTCTCTCTAAAAAGAAAAAAAAAGGTAAATCTGAAGGGATGGGGCTGTAGCTCAGTGGTCAAGTGCTTGCCTAGCATGTATGGGGCACTGGGTTCGATCCTCAGCACCACATTAAAAAAAAAAAAAAAAAAAAAAGATACTGTATGTTCATCTACAAATAAATATTTTTTAAAAAATATAAATCTGATACATTTTAGGTACTTAGAAACACAGTGACAAAGCTTTTCATTGTGGTAAAATTTCAAGTAAGTTAAATCAAACATGTAAATAAAGCTTATTCTTTAACAGAATATTTTTTACATTTTTCCAAAACACATTCAAGATAAAGGTTAACTGCATCTATTTTTATGATAACTTACACGTGAGAGAAAATTATTTCTTCACTTTTAAATATATTAAGATTTTTATGTATTACTAAAACAACAACAAAAAAACACTAAGTAAATGCATTTTGTTCTGCCTTACCTTATAAGGCTTAATGGACAAAAGTGCTCTGACCCAAAATGTGATACCAATTCAACCTAAAAAATAAAAGCACATGAAATGGGAAGCCAGCAAAGTGCTTGTAAGAGTAACAATATCCTCAGTTTTTTCATTATAAAATTTCTAAAAATAAAGTCCTCATTTCCCCAAAATCAATACTTTCAAAGTATTTTTTAATAATGTATTAACATGTAATGCCCTGTTATTCAATATCGCAAAAGAGAAGGTTGCTAACCTTTATGTACTTGATGAACATCTGAAGCAAGAGAAAGGAAAAGAAAAAGAAATCAGTTCCAAAGTCTAGATAACATGCTATAAGCAATTGCAAGTATTTGTAAATCATACTGTATAATTAAAGTACAGAAAGCAATGTACCGTGATGGATAACATTGTAGTACTCTTAATTCTTTGCAGAAATCAAAGCAATGATTTAAAATTTTACCATTACAACTAGAAAGTATAATCTATGTAGCAATAAAATTAACTTTAGCTTAATAAGTTGAATAACCTAAATCCATTGCTGCTGTTTTGTTAAAAGCATTCTGAAATCAATTAATACTCTAAAAAGTCTTATATTACTTCAAATATCATCTTATATCACTTTAAATATTATAGCTATGTATCATGTATATAGCTACGGATAAATTTGCATATCAATACACAGATTTTTTAGTATATTATAAAATATTATTTACACTTGTCTGATAGTGTATGCAATATGTTTCAGGGCAAAAGCATTAGATAGTCTGTTATTTCAAGTATAACTTACAGAAGCAGAAGATATGTATCAATTCACTTTTAAAATATAAGTTATTAAAAATAATTTGTAAATTTGGATTTAACTCTTTTAGGATAAGGGGAAAATTAGATAAACATATATAACTACATAATGAAAACCAGAGTCAATTCTGATTGCCTGAACCTTTCTATCAACTTTTTTTTAATAAAATGAATCATCAAAATGCTCTATAGTCTCTTACCATACAAAGGATAAGGCAGGGATTTATCATACAACTTTTAATGCTGCCAATAAATTCTTCTATTATTAATAAGTAGATATTATACAGAATGATCCTCAGACAACTTGGTAACATTTTTACTTCCAAAATTAAATATAATTCTATCACCTGGTAAATGATTTTTCATAGCATAGAAAGCGTGTTATATAAGAAGATCTTTAAATAATCATTTCAGTACTCATTTTAAAAGGAACTGAAGGTGTTCATTTTTCTGAACTCTTGATTATTAACTGGAAATATCAATTATTTTCAAAATAGAATTTAGCAACTTTTATACTAAAACTAGGAATACTACAAGTTTACCCATTTTATAGAATTCAACTTAATACATGCTTTAAAAAGAGACAGTAAAATCCCAGAAGACAAAATTAACTATAAGTTCTCAAATTTAAAGAAGAAAGGACAGGAATTAGAACTTCTGCCATTTAAAGATCACATTATTAACACAATGGTATTTTAAAGTGTGCCATTTTTAAAGGAAAGCGGGGCAGGAAGGAAAGGAGTAGAAATATCCCCTATTTCATCCAAATCCAGTTTAAGAGTGATAATTCTACTTGATCATTTGGTGAAGGAAGCAGAGGGAACACTGAATATCAAGTTATCTTTATTTGAAACTGGTGTCTGCACACAGACTGTTTCACATGAATACACAAAAAATACAAAAGCCAAAATAGTGTCAAATAATTGGTTATTAAAATCGAAACAATCTAAGAATCATATTTCAAAAAGATTTAAGATTTGCTTTAAAGACTTTAGTGACAGCAATAATTGCCAGGCATGGTGGCACATGCTTGTAATCCCGGAGGCTTGAGGCAGTAGGATTGAGAGTTCAAAACCAACCTCAGCAAAAGGGAGGTGCTAAGCAACTCAGTGAGACCCTGTCTCTAAATAAAATACATATTAGGGCTGGAAAGGTGGCTCAGTGGTTAAGTGCCCCTGAGCTCAATCTATAGTACCAAAAAAAAAGACTAGTACAGAAATCGATGTGAGCTTCTAAATAGAATACTCTGAAGATGACATTTTTATATAAAGTCAAAAGAAATTAAGAGCTACAATTTAGAATTTTTTTTTCAGAATCACAAATAAAAAGTTGGTCTGGGTTTCCAGTAATACAAAAGGAAAGTAGCAGCATTTGACTCATAAAACAAAACATCCAAGTAAAAACTATTTTATTAAAGGGTATGCTGCAGTATATGTCCTCTTAAGAGTTTTCTGATTTCTAAATGGGTAAAGTGAATAAAATATGACTAATATTTTCATTATAGAACACGGCCTTATATACATAAACATTACCTTCACATATTTTGCATACATCTGTTCATCTAAAGGGAAACTCTGGACATTCCGCTCATCTCTACCATGGAAAGTACCCAGCTTAATCCATTTATTTGTGGGATATCTAGAAAACACAAAAATAAATGTCCTGTTCATTTTCTTCCTCTCTAGGTGATATATACAAACTTAATAGAGTTTAATAATAAATAAATAAATAATCCTACTAACAAATAGAAAGAAAGACAAGGAAAAGACAAAAGCAGGACAATCACTGCTTCTTAGGGTTCAGAAGGACTGTTGAGGTTTTAAAACAGAAAGGAGCCAAGAGTTTGTCTTGGAAGGCGGAGGTTGCCTCAACTTCCCAAGTAGCTGGGATTACAGGCATGTTACATTGCACCCAGCTGAAACATTTTTTTATACTGGTGATTAAAAGAAGTAACATAATATAAAGAATTGGGAAAAGAACAGCATTCCCGCACAAGCATTCTCTTTACATACTGACAATTGTGTGATGAAATACTGATGACAGAAAGCAAATCAGGAAGGAAAAAAAAATCTTTTAATATCATACATAGCTGAACCTTTTTTTAAAAAAAAATTTTTTTGTAGTTGTAGATAGAATGTCTTTATTTTATTTGCTTATTTTTGTGTGGTGCTGAGAATCGAACCCAGTGCTTCACACATGCTCTGCAAATGCTCTGCCACTGAGCTACAGCCCCAGCTCCACATAGCTTAACCTTTTAAAGGAAATCTAACATAAAATAAAAATACATTTTTAGTTTTTATTTATTTTTATTTTTTATTGTGTAGATGGACACAATACCTTTATTTATTTTTTATGTGGTGCTGAGGATGGAAGCTCATGTGTGCGAAGCAAGTGCTCTACCCCCCTCAAAATAATGATTTCTCTTTTCTCACCTTTAGAAAGAACATACTTTGTAAGAGCTAGATATATCATCTGACATATAATAAAACTGCAGCTTAGAGAAAAGGAAGTGATGTGAGCAAGGTTAAGAACAGAAAAACAGATGGAATTCTCAAAAAGTTTTGAGGACTGATTTCAAAAACTGTATACACGCAATGCTGACTGTAAGGTAAGAGAAGAAATGCCATGGAAAATCTTTAATGATCAATGACAGAAGAATAAATGATAGCATCTTACCTGACATATCATGGGCACTCAAATGTATTTATGGAATACTACCTCCACTGAGGGGGAAATACTAGTATTCATTAAAAATGGTATGTTTAAAAGAAAAGGTATTCTCAGGATATAAGAAGTAATAAGTAAATATATTTTCTAGTAGAATAAATAAATGCATAGGAAAGACTGAAAAGAATGTAAAAAATGCTAACAATGGTTATCTCTGCTTATGAAGGAATGCCATTCTTTTCCAAATTCTTTATATTATGCTCCTTCTTTCAATCATACAAGTATAAAAAAGGTTTTAGCTGGGTACAATGTAACATGCCTGTAATCTCAGCTACCTGGGAAGTTGAGGCAAGAGGACCAAAAAGTCCAAGGCCAGCCTGGGAAACACAATGAGGCATTGGCCTAGAACGTACAAGGAGCTGAGTTCGATCCCCAGTATTCACCCCCAACCCCACATATAAAAAATATTCTTCACAAAAAATATACCTCATGATATGAAACGAAACATACTTTCTAAAAACTTTTAAAGAAATGCTTGAAAGCAATGGAGCATAATGATTAAAAGTAAAGACTTTAAAAAGTCACATAATCCTAGGTTTGCATCTTGGTTTTCCAATCAACAAGTCATGCGGCCTGGGCAAGCTACTCAAAACTCCCCTAATTCTGTTTCCTAACTTTATAAGGGAATAATTTGGCTGTGATGTACTATATATGAGTTAATAAAAGGAAAGTGATTAAGAAAAGTCTACAACTATTATTACAAACTGACATTAAAACCAAAATGACTAAAGTCAAAAGTGACCCATTTTAAAATTTTTACTCCAAAGATCCAACATAGACCCTATAGAAACCAGCTCTAGAACTTACCTGTCGCTGATAGAAACCAAAAAGTCTTTAGGAGTAGAAGAAAATAATTCATAATTTGCGATATCAAGCTGTTTTACTTGAATTGGCTCACAAAGTTCAATAACAAACCTTCAAAAAGAACAAGACAATTATTTAAATGGTTAAAATATTAGTTCATATTAAACATGGCATAACATTTTGTATAAACCAGATATCCATTAAAAATTACTATACCTTAATGGAGGAGGAGGATTTATAATTCAAGTTATCTGTAAGGGAATGCCTCTTTCACAAAGAATATCAGTAGTGAGGAAAAAAAAAAACTATAAAAATAAGATATTGACTTTGTCCCATCATATTTTTTAAGAAAAGATATTTTTTTAATGACAAAGCACATTGCCAGAGAAAGAATGACTTCACTAAGAATTGTCAGTGATTGTATAAACTGACTAGTTTAGAGGATAACTTGACATATATTGTCTTAAAAGTATCAAAGCCTTTGATTTAGCAATACCCTCTTAAAATCTTAATGCATTAAGTTTTCAATTCTGTGAATATGTCAATGAAATTGACACAGGTACTTTAAAATAGGTTGGAAATCATAACCTAGAGCTTACATACTCTTTTATATATTTTCTTGTATACATATGTAGTACAATACATATATTTCCAAGTGCTCTAATTATTTACCTAAGTTATCATAGGTGGCATATTTGTTGCTCAACTTAAGTTTTTATGTGTTCCAGATCTGGGAAGATGAAACCTAATAGGTTAAGAAGGATGTCTGCCCTTATATTTACATTTTGCTTTATCAAAATGCAGTGTATAAAAGCAATGGTGATGGGGGGTGGGGGTGTCAGTTAATCTATTTGACTCCCAAACCTGAATTTCCCACAGCACCATAATATCACAGGATGGCTTCATTGATAACATAAATTAACATAAATGATGGTCCACCCAGACAAAAAAATAGCCAGTATCCAATAAGACCAGCTATAAATTACACATAACAGAAGCCTGGCCTATAACTGTTATAGGGAAAGATGGTTTGAGAGGGAGAAATTATTAAAAAGTGCAAGAAAACTTTTGGGAGTAATGAATATGTTCATTATCTTTTTTTTAATTTTTAATTTTTATTTTTTGTAGTTGTACACAATAACTTTATTTTATCCATTTATTGTTGTGGTGCTGAGGACTGAACCCAGGGCCTTGTATGCGCGAGGCGAGTACTCTACCACTGAGCCATAACCCCAGCCCAGTATGTTCATTATCTTTACTGTGGTGATATTTTCACAGATGTATAAATGTATAAAACTATACAATTTGACATGCTGCACTTTATTGTATGTCAACTAAACCTCAATTATGCTGTTTTTTTAAAAAATAAAGTTAGTATAACTTAGTCTCAGAGCATGTGCTTAGAATATGCAAGGCCCTAGGTTCAATTCCCAGCACTGAATGATGCTAGAGATTGATTGTTTGACATGGAAAGATGCCATAAGTATTGCCACTAGGAAAAAAGTATAAGTATAACTCTATGTGCATAGAATACAATTGTATGTAGCATGGTACTTGGGGAAGAGAAATGCTTGTGACACTTAGTATTCTAATTTGCTTTAACAAACTATATATTTTGGTTCCAAAACCTGAACATTTTCTACAGCACCAATCACATGATGAAGGGAAGAACTAAAGGAAATCAGACTCAGACTTTTATTATTTACTTTGGATAAAATAAATCTATGAGTACTGAGAAGAAAACAAAAAGCTAATTGCCTTTTACTCCTTATTTTTTTTTTAAACATACAATGTTCCTCATCTCTAAGAAGACATAACTTACATTAATATCAGATAAAATAAGCTTTCAGATAGACACATCACCAAGTATACAATGCTGATTCACTTGGAACACATAAGAATTCTAAAATTTGTATGTAACTGATAAATCGCTTCAAAATATGTAAAATACTAATATAAAACTAATTACTCTGCATTAAAATTTATTTTAAAATGCCTTTCAATATCTTTCTGCCTCATCTCTCATGTTTTCTTAGAAACACAGAATACAGTATGAAATTAGTAGAACTTTGTATAAAATCAATAAGTTAAACAATTTCAATTATACTTAACTATTTACGACTCAGTTTTAAAAGATTACATTAAAGTTACAGAGCTGAATATTAACAAGTAGCTTCATAAAACACCATGAATCAAAATTTAGGAAAAAATTAAGAAAATTTATAACCTTAAATATGTACATTAGAAATTTTTTTAAAAATTGAAGTTCAACAGACTAAACTTAAACAATGTAGAGAAATGAAAGTTTTATGCAGAAATTCATGAAAGAGAGAACAAAGATATAATGAAGTGAATTGATAAAGCCAAAACAGATACATTTCTGTGGAGATTAAAGGAGGTGGCATTAAAAAAAATTAGGAATTTTTTAAACACAAAAAATCTCTAATGCAGAAGAGATTTTAAATAATAAGAGAATTCTGAAAACAACTTTATTTCAAAACTTTGAAAATAGAAAACAAATTTATACAAAAATATAATTTACCAAAAATAGCACAAAAGGAAAGAAAATAAAGTCTTATTTCTTTTAAATCATTTTAAAAATCTTCCCAAATTTTCAAACAATTAAGATAGTGCATGCACAAGCTTACTAATACTTGCAAAAAGATCATAAACAACACAAATATCCAATAAGTGAGGCCCAGTTAAATATCACTCAAACCATAAAAAAGACTACTGATGTATTATAATTTTATATAATAGTGGGAGTCACTGTTACATATTCGCACACACAATATATATATATATAT